AAAATATTTCTAATCTCTAAAGAAATAATTACGGGATTTCTACACTCCCCCTCAAGTTGGATAGTAAATGTTGACCATATCGAACTTGTAGATGAAATCCTCAAAATTTTGTCGTGGCAATCCTTGGTGAGGATATCTGCAATTTTTTTCTTTGGTAGGCACATAAGTCATGCATATAATCCCTTCTTCAACCTTTTCTTTGATGAAGTGTTTGTCCGCTTCCACATGTTTGGTTCGATCATGTTGTACTGAATTGAGAGATATATTAATAGCTATTTTGTTGTTGTAATAGAGTTTGATTGAAAGTGTTACCATCGTCTGTAATTCGTTCAATAATTTCTTTATCCACAAACCTTCGCATATTCCTTGTGCAACTGCTCTAAACTCAGTCTCAGCACTACTTCTAGCAACCACATTCTGATTCTTATTTCTTCAAGTCACCAAATTTCCCCAGACAAAGGTACAATAGCTAGTTGTTTATCTCCTATCTTCTTGTGAACCAACCCAGTCCACATCAGTAAAAACTTCCACTTCTTTCCTTTCATTTTCTTGAAGAATGATCCCTTTCCAGAGGTACCTTTAAGATATCTTAGGATTCTGTACACTACTTGTAAGTGAGCTTCCTTTGGAGAGTGCATATGTTGAATTATCACACTTACAGCGAATGCAGTATCCGGTCTAGTATGAGAGAGGTAGATTAATTTTCCAACAAGTCGCTGATATCTGTCTATTTCAACTGATTTTCCTGTAATTTCATCTTTTCTTCCTACCTCCATTTGTGTATCACTTGACTTGCATCCAAGCATACCAGTCTCAGTTAGGAGATCAAGTACATACTTCCATTGTGAAACATTGATACCTTTCTTTGATCCGGCCACCTCCATTCCCAGGAAATATCGCATTTGTCCCAAGTCTTTTACCTCAAATTCTGCGGCTAAGCTTTTCTTAAGCCTCTCGATTTCTACTATATTATCTCCAGTCACTACAATGTCATCAACATAAACAATAAAGATTGTTTTCATCCCCTTTTCAGATAGTTGGTAAAACTAAGTATATCCTTGACTTCTCAATACTTTTGCAAAACTGTCGAACCATGCTTTTGGTGATTGTTTGAGGCCGTACAGTGACTTTTTAACTTTACACACTCTATTTCTCTCTCGTCTTTACAGAAACTAGGGAGAAGTGTCATGAAGACTTCTTCTTCCAATTTTCCGTTCAAGAACGCATTCTTAATGTCAAGCTGTTGGAGAGGCTAATCCAAGTTTGCTGCTAAGAATAAGAAAACTCGAATAGTATTCAATTTTACTACACGAGCAAAGGTCTCTGTATAATCAATATCGTAAGTTTTTGTATATCCATTTACAACAAGGTGAGCTTTGTACCGTTCTATTGTCACATCAGCTTTATACTTTATATTAAAAACTCATTTCCATCCGACGGGTTTTTTCCTCTCGGT